CGAGTTTTGCGTGATAAAAGTATCTGTAAACGAACTGTATCACTTTTCAACATGTTCTAATTGACATCCATTTACACTCTACCGATAATGTCTCGAAAGGTTCTTCTAATGTTTTTTTTATGAAAAGTGAATTATTTAACTGACATTAATTGTTTGTGCTACGGTATGGATTATATCTTATCGTCAGCCTAAAAATGATTTTTAAATTTATTTTAACTAAAAACTTCGTAGAGAAAATAACTGACGAAAACTTCAAGTTCCTTGTGATAGAATAGCGAAACACTTAATGCCGCATCTATAAGATATTTATATTTTGTCGATCACGCGACCTTTTGAATGCACGAAGGAATCTTGTATGTATGCAACATGCTAAACTCGAATCTGTTGCGATCGAAAGTAGAATGAAAAAAAATTCTGGAAATTACGAAGAGCTCAATATTCGTGGTGCTAGCTCTGATACAATATTACTATTGTCTATTCATAAAAAGAATATATGAATGTTTTTGAATAACTGGAAAACAGAAAGAGCTAGAGGAACGCGGTTTTCATCAATCGAAAGAGGAGCTTATGCCGCATCTTTTGAAGCATGTGAGATGAAAGATAGTTGAGTTGTAGCATTTTTATTGTAGCAGAGTCCAGACGCCAAAATCTCCTTTTTGAAAAACTCATCCTTTGAACTTTCTTCAATCCGGTGAATAAAACAAACATTACCACAAGATTCAGGACGGTCAATAGCCTGTGGTTCATGTGTTTGTTAAACGCCCAAACTCAAAGACGTAGGAGTCCTGGGGCTTTGGGAAAAACCTGAATTCCGGCTAAACCACTGATTTTCAAGATCTTGCTTACATCTAAGCACTTTTTTCTATTTACTGATGAAAAAATACCAATAGTTTGTTATTTTAAATTTTCGACTTATACAAAAGATCCGCTCAAAAACCCGTTTTTAAAGCTATTTGAAAAACTTTCCGCCTGCAAAAGATCCTGCATAAGCTCCTCTTTCAATTGATGAAAACCGCGTCCTTCTAGCTCTTCCTGTTTTCGAGTTATTCAAAAACATTCATATATCATTCTTTTTATAGATGGACAATAATAATAGGTAATGGCTGGTAGAGCATAGAGGCTAGGAAAGTAAGAGACAAGCATTAAGAAGATGGACATTTAACGATTTAACGAATTGTTGTCTATTGGAAGCGACTTCAAAATTCGGGCACTTCTAAAAGCTGATCAGTCACTAAAATATATATTCATTCTTATGGGCGAAGCTCATTATGCAGTTGGTGATTCCACTTCAGCGTTGAATTATTTCATGAAAGCTTTTAACATTCCAGGAAACGCGAAAGACATAACACTACTTGCAGGTATTGCGATAATATTATGACGTTAAAAAATTCATATTTTTTTCCATGAAAGAAAAACATTCTAATTAACAATAAAATTACCTTTTTTCCATTATTTTTGCTGCTTCAGACGATTTCAAATAAACTGATTCGATGCAGTTTTCATGCGATACCGAATGAGTATATTTGAAATCTTTTGAGGCAACAAAAATAATGGTAAAAAGGTAATTTTACTGATAAATCGAGTGCTTTTTTTTCATAGAAAAAAATATGAATTTTTTAACGTCTTTTAAGGTTTACCAAATACATTTTTGGATTTTTATCGCAAGAAAACGACTTAAAAACTTTTTAATATTTACAGTTCTGTAGAACTCAACGAATTCTATCGAACCATGTAAAAATGTTCACGAAAAATATTTTATGTCATTTTTCAATTATTGACATATTAGTTTTCCGCTGCAAAAAAGTATAAGGTTTCTGTAAACTTCTTAAGCTCAGCATTAAAAGGTTTTCATAGTCTTCACTATTTAGTGCTTGTGAATTCCATTTTTGGCGATCATTCATTTGATACTCAGTATGTGTTCTATTTGACATTGTAGCGACTGGTCTCCCCATCTGGGCAAAATATTATTTCGAACCCTATATAATCGCTGATATGTGGATAAACATATTATATTTGAACTTTGTAACAGTATTCGAATTAACTCTGTAATTTGACAGAAAGAAGTAAGATCAACATTTTGATGAACATCTAATCTGTCATACAAACTTCATTGGGGAAAATCTGAATCAACGAAGTCACTAAAAAATCGAAGTTTTCAGCAAAATAAACGTACAAAAACAGTCCTATATTTTTCTAATTTTTCATAAAAGAATTCTATATTTTAGGACAATCTAGTCCTATACGAAATCCTATATTTTCGAGAACTCGTAATCCGAGGCCAGCGTACAGTATGTTTAATGCATAAAATATAACGACAATGTTTATATATAACATTGATCATATTTTTATTATTATTATTTACTTGATTGAATATTAGTTCGAATTGCAGTAATAGTCCATTGAACTTATATTAAATATATCAAGATTCTAAAGAAAATTATTGTTGAATTCATTTTTTGTAAACTAGTATAGAAGAAAAATGAAGCAATTATCAATATTCAGATGATTTTATAAATAAAAAAAACACCGAATATTCCAAGCATATAAGTAATAGATGGATTTTTCCAAGCAAAGATGCAAAATTTGTTCCATCAATATAAAGAAAACACAAAAAAAGAAGTCATATTTCTCAAAAAGACAGAACGAGAAAAGAGAACACGTGATCGTTTTTCGTTATTAGGAAGTGATTTATTGCATAGTTCTATTTTGATGAATTATATATAAATACCTAATTATATTAATTTTAATAAATATTCACAGAATAGAGTAATCTAGGGTGAATCATATCAAAATCTGATGTTTTTTTTCTAGACTAGAGCATCTCAGGATTTTCACATATTCGGAATCAGCGCGACGAGTTACGTTGTACGGCTAATATACGTATGAATCTCTCTTCTCTATCGATTGGTGAAATCTATTTCTCAAAATTTTGTGATTTGACGGATCTACAAGAGTTTTTCGGAGCACTAATTCTCGATTATACATTCATCCCGGTTAAGTCGAATGTATAATCTCGCTAGTACCTATTGGGATGAATGTATAATCACAACTACTTTTTACATAATTATTAAAATCAAATTTTTAATCGTTTAATTAAGTATTTATTTTTTAATAGTTTTTTTTACCAATCAATAGCTCAATGTCTTGTCTATCGATCGAAACTAATTTTAAAATTACAAGTCAAGATTATATATTTATTTTTCTATAGACTGCAAAAAGAGGTATAAAAGAAATTTTTGTATACATTCATCCCATATGGAGTGAATGTATAATTGTCACTGCGTCTATAAGGTGATAGTATAAACTCATCTATTTTTGCTGATAACAATAAAACTAAATTTTTTTTTAAGATAGAAAATGATTTCAATGATATTTTTTCACAGAAATATTCCTCATAGAAAACTACACAAGGCCAAAGCATTTCTTTACTCATTTCTCTACTATTTTTTCAATATAATAGAGATAATATTTAGTGCTCTTCTATGTATTTAACATCTGAACATACTTATAGATATCATAATCACTTGTAAACATTTACTTTTTTCCACTTTATCTATGTAATGTTATGGTTATATCTTGTTGTAGCTGTTAACTTAAAATCAAGAAAATCGATTATCTACTCTTATTTCTATGTTATTTGGATTTTTTTGTTCGTTCAATATTCTCTTATTCTATGTTTTATCTTGATTATTGTTACTTCTTGTTGTCATTGGGAAAACAATTCGGAAAGTTTTCTTGAAATATTTTTTTGAACCACTATGATCAGTAATGAGCTTGGTCTTCTTAAATGGAATTGGAATCACATAATGGGCACTCGTTATTAAAAATATTTTGTAAACACGAATTTTTTTCTACCCTACATTCAGGGGTGGAAGATAGAAGTGTATTTTAATTAAGTTGTTGAAAGAGATAAGAAAGTTTTCAATGAATGAATGAAAAAAAGAATATAATGTATGTCAACATGGTACAAAAATAACAAGTGATTGTGGAATTCTACGAAATTTTGGTTATCCTACACAATTTAAAATAACAATACTCGAATGTCATCACACTATACATGTACCAAATGATAAAACAATCTGTTTATGGTTAAGTGATCTATATATTGATTCAACACATTCAAATTGTGCTAAAGAAAATGTATCTGTTGTTGATAGTAATCAAACATATCCACATTATGGTCTTGAACGATATGCTTATTCATATTTATGTTGATCAACAATTATTATTCAATATTTCATTATAAAAAAATTATAAATTTATCAACGAATGAGAATGTATTTTGAAATAGTTGATAGACCTACAGATGATAATTGTGTAAATTCAAATGAAACAGTGGCATCTGTGCCTGCTACAACATTCATAATAACAACTTTTGATCCGGATATAACTACAAATACATATATTTATATCACACTTGGTGTTACGTCATCTGTTCAAAGTTTTCAAATTTGTAATAGTAAATTACTCGATTCATCGGATATTAAACAATTATAAATTTTTTTTTCAAGTCAATCATATATACAATTGAATGTCCAAATAATTACCATGTAACCATTATTACAAATAAATTAATTTTCATTAACAGAATTTGATAAAGTCTGGAGTGATTGATCTAATATTACTATAGTGCAAGTGCCAATTAGAAACTATCAAATTATATGTGAGTTTTGAGTTAGAATCTATTTTATTAACACTTCAAGAATTATGACCGAAGGTCAAAGTAGTTCTCAGAACTGACATTATATAAAAATAAATCAGTTTTTCTTTATTTTTGTTTTAGTTCGTCAACTTGATCATTCTTCTGATGTAAATATTTTCAAAAATGAAAACGACTACATTACACACAATTAAAGATAATATAGAGTACTTGTAGTTCTGATATTTAGAATGAGAATAAATCTATGTCTTTAAATAACCATCAGTTTTTTGTTGTATCCGTTGGTGAAAAAAAATACTAAACCAAGTTGTTCAATTGATTTACATGAGAATAAATAAAAGAAAAACATTAGTGATACATGAATAGTCTTTTGTAATGATTATATTAAGTATATGTTAACGATAAAATCTGTAAATCAAAAAGTCTTTTATATTTTTCTCTTTGATAAAATAAAAACTTCGTATTTTGTTTCTTGCTGCTTGTGATGTATCTTCAGAAGTAAGTTGTTGTTGTTATTATTGATTCTTGTTTATAATCCGACAAACTTGATTTAATACAGGTTGTAACAACAGCAAGTCTTTTGTGTCAAGAGGATGCATATATGTTTCCTCCATAAATTTATTTAAATTATAAACATTTGTAAATTTATGAGCTGTTGCATATTCTTTAAATTCCATATCGAGATGAAAACTATCATTGGCTTCCCTTTTTTCTTTGAGACATATTATCATTTTATCAGCATCAGTACCGTATTCATTTGAAACATCATTTACAATTGTATTTAATAAAGGATATTCATTTGATAATTTAATACTATTTATGTTTTCATCGAAAAGAATGTTGATGTCGTTTTTTGCTAAATGTTTTTTTTTATTTCTTCAGCTATTCGTTGTCGAGCTTTCGTGAAAAGATCTCGGATTAATATTCGTTTTTATTCATTTATTTCCAAATTATTAATTTTTGTTTTTAATAAAACATTTTCTTGTTGAATATCATTAACACTTACACGTAAATCAGTATTTTTCTTTTTCAATGCTTTTAATTTTTTCTCCAAATTGATTTACGTTTATCTAAAAACGTGCAACGAGACAATGAAATAGTAAATTGAGAAAGAATAAACTTACTGTAACATGTTTAAATACAGTCGACATTATGTTAAAATCAGACTCGATACATGTAATAAGTTCAATAAAACCTTTATCAAGTTTTTCTATATTCAATGATGATTTGGACCAATTTTCTTTAAATGCATCGAAATTATTTTTTATTTGATCATATATCGCTTTAATTTGAGCATCATGGATTGATTGTTCTGTCCCAGGACAATGATTACTACAGCGGTAAATGGCAGCATACTACAGTTTATGATGATGGATACTGTAGTATACGTCAAAATACGAACTGTTTACGACGAAATACGATAACGTTTACTGTGGAGAAGGATTACGACGTCGCATTTTATCTGGAATGGATATGTATTTCGTCGTATTTCGACGTATACTATAGTTTACGGCCGTAGAGCTTCGACCTGGGGTAGAGTATAAATCATGACAAAGTCTTCAAATAATGTTGATCAAATAATTTTGATAATTCAGCTTTTTCTTTTTCATGTTTATCAAGTATCATCATTTGATGTTCATATATTTGACCCAGTGTGCGTTTAGCTTGAATGTTGAACGTTGGTAAATCATTTTCGATTCGAACGAGTATTCGCTGGATTTCTGTTGGGTTTAACATTTTAAGAAAAATGATCTTAAAGTTATCAATACGAAATTAAAATTAAAAGATTTTTTTATTCCCTTGACTTTAGTCTAGGGTCTTACAAAATGGTTGTCTGTGCAGGGTTTCTAATGAGAATTTTGAGCAGCACAGAAAAGGTAGCATCTTTTTACTTAACGGATCAATTTGTAGTTAATCATCGTTTTCTCTCGTAGATTAGAGGAAATATGTTCGCGTTGTTGGCCGATGAAAGTCGTGATAGTGGTGGCCACGAAC